GCGCGTCAGCTTGTGCCGGGACCCCCGGGCAGGATGTCTGTCAGCTGGCCGGGTGTGCCTCGCGGGGCTCCCCCACCCTCTGCGGGGTGACAGCGCTCGCTGGAGTCGCCACCCACCCACCTTCAGTAGCCCAAAGCGGGCTCTTGGCTTGGGCGGCCCTGCCAGCGCAGACACGCGGCCGCCGCCTCTCGGTTTCGCGGCGAACGGGCAGACCTGGCGCGCCAATGCCCGTCGGGGTCTCTGCGCCTTGCTCTGCGCCCTCTCGGGCAGCGCTGCACCCACGCTGGGTAAGACCCTTGCTGCGGGCGGCTGGGCTGGGGTGTGCCGGCGCGGGGGGGGCTGCTTCGGAGCCGCTGGTCGGGGTGGCGGTGCCAGCAGGAGAGCCGAGCGCAGGGACAGCCCCTGTGGCGGTGCCCACGCTGCTGCCCGGTCTTTACCCTGCACCCATCGTGCTGCGAGTGCAGCCCCTGTTAGTCTCTCGGAACGGTTCCCCCTGGGATGGTGGTGCTGCACGAAGGCTTTTTGTCTCTTCCCTTTCCCCTCTCTGCTGCTGAGCCAGGCTCTGCTAGCCCTCTGGCTGTCTCCCTGCTCCTGGGTCAGCTCCACTTGGGGCAAGAAAAAAATATGAGCCAGGACCTGCACAGAGGAAGGGGAGCTGGGATTTGGGCTGATTCCAGCTGCGGCGCTCGGGGCAGCACGGCCGGCGTGGCAGAGAGGGGAGGACGGGAGGCTGTGGGGCAGGAAAGACAGACACGGCGTGGGGGCTTAGCTGGGGAAACCTTGTTTGGAGAAGTTTTGTGGTCTGTTTTAATCAGACCTCTCTCTGGCGGCAGTCGTGCTCAGCTCGCCACGTGATGGCGAGAGCACTGGTGTCAGCACGGGACCAGGCGGAAGCATGGGAATTTCAGCTCAGCGGGGATTAAACCAGCCCCAGAGCAACCTCCTTTGGCTGGGAGCAGAGGGGATCCAGCGATCGGGAAGCCTCCTGCGGCAGTGGCAAAGCGGGAGCACCCTGGACTCCCTCTGAGATCTGGGGGGAGAGCAGCTCTCCCGCTGGCCTTGTGGAGGGGGTCAGGAGGTGCGGAGGTGTGTGCGTGTGTGTTGGAGGGAGGAAAGCCCAGCCTGGGGAGTCGGACTGGGAGAGGTGGATTGTTCTGGGGAGGGCCAGGTCATCGGCTTGGGTTTGTGGCTGCCCTGGCCACGTGGAGCAGCGGGTTCAGGAGCGAGGAGCATTGCGTTATGCTACGAGGAGTGAGGTCGGACAAGGGAAGGATGCTGGTGGCCAGAGGACCTCTTGTTGGACTTCTCTGCTGGCTATTGGGAGACCTGGCTTGTGGGCGACCACCTGGGTCTCCGCAGGGTCAGCTGGACCCAGGTGACCTCTGCTAAAGCTGTTTTTTGGGGCATTTACATGGGACAGTGGGCTGATGGGCTGTGAGAACCAGGGTCTGGAGGGCTTGGGCCAAAGCCAAGGTGGAAGGTTGCCTTCAGAGGACTTGGTCTGAGCTTCTTCGCTCTGAAACTTGGGGACAAAATGTTAGTTAGCCCCGGTCAAGGTGGCAAAATTCCCCTCAGTGCGGGATTTGAAGCCTTGAGCTGGCCTGGGTGTCGATAGCAGGAAGCTGCAGTCCCCTAGCTGGGGTCTTGGTGCCTCGGGTCAGCGTCTGCGGCGTGACGAGAGGTGCGGAGGGGCTGGGGGTGAGGTGTTCTGCTCCGTGGACGCTGACGGACCAACTTCCTGAAGCAGCGTGGGGAGGCGGCAGGCTGTGTTCTGTGCGGGCCGTGGGCTGTGTGTTGGTCTCCATCCCAGGCATCCATCAAACCAGGTCTTTATTTTGCTCCCTTGGCTGCGGGAGCTCAAGGGAAGGACGGGGTGCGCTCTCTCCCTGGGAAGTACCCACCCAGCACGTGGGCTGCGTGGGCAAATCCCCTCGGCAGCTCCTAGACAGTCCCTATATAGGACTGTGACGCTCAGGTGAGTTGTGAGAATAAAGGAAAGGACAGCCATCAGCTTTCCCTTCCAGCATAGCTGACGGGAGTTGGGGATGTGTGTGAGGTCTCGGTCTGTGCCCGGTTTCCGCGGCAGGGACAAGCAGCTGTCCTCGCGTGCCTCTGCCTTGGGACGTGGTGGCTGGGGGAAGCCTGCGTTTCCCTCTCGGGAATGCTCGCGTGAGCCCCTTTGGGATCAGCTCTCTGCCGGGCAGCCTGCGGTCTCTCGGTGGTGAGAGCACGTGGTGGCTCCAGCGCTGTTCTCCTGGGTGTGATGTGACTTATCGTGGAAGACCAGAGAAGGGGAATTGCGCGCTTCAGAAACGCTTTTTAATTTCCTCGCTACTTGTTCTTTTGTGACCCTTTTTGCTGAGGTTCAAGCTGCTTCTTGAAGCCCTTGGGCACTAGATGGCTGCTTCTCCTTGTCGTGTTTCTCAGGACAGAAGAGGTTGAGGTCCTTGCCCAGAAGATCCTTGTAGGCCGGGGGGGGGCGAAGCTGCTGTGCCCAGGTGCATGACGAGTCCTCAGCCCCTGTCCCGAGGGGTGGCGGGAGCCTGGGAGGAAACTGAAGATGCTGAAGATATTCCTGATGCGAGTGATAGTGATGGAGATTGGAGCAGGGCAGCTTCAGAGCTTGCCGGTGATTTCATCAGGGTGTGGTTCAAGCCGGAGATGAGATTTGTAATGATTTAACTTGCTAGGGAGAGAGACCCCAGCCAAGTAGTTTTTAATGACTGTGTGCAGTGAAGGAAGGAGTTAAAGTTTAGCCCGCTTGCAGAGGATTGCATATGTAGTGCAGCTCTAAGTGCCACCACCAGCCTTTCCTCATTGTTGTAAGGCTTTTCCCAGGCAGAGGAACCTAAAAATACACCAGCTGTATAGCGAGGGGGGCTCTCCTGTGGCCTGTGGGCTTTTCTCTCTCCCCTTCGCTAATTGCCGGCAGTTCAGCAGCTCGTGGGTTTGAAAATGGAGCCGGTCTCCTCCCGGACTGTTCCAGTCGCTGAGCAGCAAGTGACTCGGGGAGATTGCAGGTGAAAGCCCGTTAGATGGTGTTTCTCCTTTGGGGGGTCGGTGATAAGGGGGTTTTCCATCCCATTGCTTCGCTCTTCCAGTCTCCCTTGCAAAGGGCAGGGCTGTGAGGCTCTCGGGGCGGTTTTCAGCCTCACCCCACTGCTCGAGAGCAGCTTCTCTCCAAGACGATGTTTTCCCTGACGCTGGGGGTGCAGACCTGCCTGGGACCCACCCCAGGAACCGTGCGGGGCCCCTGCGTGGTGGCAGGCAGCACCAGCGGCGATGGGGATGGCAGGCGGGTGACGGGCGCACCTCTGTGCTCGTCGGCACGTTTTAAAGCCCAGCTTTGGCTGCTGCTTCCTAGCCCAGGCGCCCGTGCTGACTCGGCACCCGTCAGCGCGCTGGACTCGCTGCCCGGCTGAGTGGAGAGCTGGTCCTTAATGCTCCGTCCAGTCTTTGCCTTTTAAGGTTAGTTTTTCCATTCCAGCACTCCTGCTTCGTGCTATCAAAAGTGGTGGTTAGTTTGATCTCCCATCCCAGCCCCAGGTTTTTGTGCTGCAGGAGGGGGAAGCTCTCAGCCCTGGGGGGATGAATGCTGCGGCCCCTTGCCACCTCCTTAGCAAGGAGCGGGTCGAAGGCATTTGTGGGGCGTGTCGGTGGCTTTTTTTGATGAAAGGCTCCTTTGAGCCCCATCCAGGTCATGGCGCAGCTGTGACCAACTCAGTGTGGCCACTTTTGAGGTGAAACCTTGAGCAAACATCCTCTCCGGCTTGGGACGAAAGGAGCCGGGGTGGATTTGGCGCTTGCGCGATTGTTTCACCGGTTTTGTTTCTGATGGCAGGTTTCCTGCTATATATATATATATATATATATATATGGGGGGTGTGTGTGTGTGTATGTGTGTGTGTGTTCACAGAAAACAAAATACGAGCCTGCGGTGCTGTCTCGCCGGCAGCGTGGCCCCTCTGTGGGATGAAGCAGCCCTGCGCGGGATGCTCTGTGCCGCGGGATGCTCTGGCTGCATCACTTGCCCCCCAGGCAATGTACTGGGCTGTCTTTTTGGTCCTACTCTCCCAGTTGGTGTGTGTGTATCCAGGCCGGGGTGTATTACTTTATGGCACCCCGTTTCAGGGCTGGGCTTGGCTCCAGGGTGTCTGCTCGGGGTTTTTTCCATGCTTTTGGAGCGCGGCGTTGGCGAGCGCAGGTCTCGCTTCCTGGCGGCTCCCAAGGCTGGGTCCTCCCCGGGGCGAGATGCTACTTGAGTGCAGGCCGGTGGGGTTTGGGCGCTGCGTGGTTTAAAACGTGTGCTGGCGGAGGAGCTGCCGCTGGCCGTAACTCCCCGTGGGGGTTGGAGGCAGTGTGACAGGAGGGAAATGTCCTCGGTCCCCGCGCCGCTCCTCCCCGGCTGCTCCCGTGGGCAGGGAGCTGGGGCTGTGCTCTGGTGGGGGGCTGCCCATGCTGCAGCAGGCTCAAACCCTGCTTTAATTCCACCCGAGTCTCAGCAACCCAAATGATTTAATCCTGAAGAAGGCAGAAAAACGTCACAATTCCTGCTGCGTTTTTTTAATAATCGCTGCTGATGGTTTGAAGCAGCACTGGTCAAAACCCCTGCTGGTGTCAGGTCACTAGGATGAGATTTTGCTGCTGAAGTATATTTAGGAGCAGAAATCTCAGGGGAGCTCTGCAGAGTGTCATCTCTCGGCTTGCCCCAGCTCTGCCTCGCTTTGCTTTCGTTCCAGCTCCTGAGTCGCAGTTCCCTACGTTAATTTGGGAATCTCCTGTTGGGCTTTCTAGCCCTGCTTTGTGGCAGCAGCCCAACCTCCTGCTCTCCTGCCTGCTTCCAGAAATAGCAGCGATGAATCATAGAAACCCACTGAGAAAAAGTGACTTCCCCGTCCCGCTCGCCCGCCTGATGTCCGGCTGGCAGCCCCGCGCTGCTCTCGGCGCCGCCGTCCCCGCTCCTCCTTCTCCTCCTCTCTCTGGCGTGTCGCTGGCACTGAGCTTTGTGTTCCTGGTGACCTCCTGGCGAGGCAGCTGGTGGTTCCTGGAGGGGCTCAGCCCCACCGTTCTCGGCGGTTTGATGAGAGCTGTGCCGGTTTCTTGGGGTGGGAAACGTCCCTCCGGCAACCCGTCAGGAAAGCGCGCTGCCTGCCGCTGCCGGGCCGCTGGGTCTGTGCCTCGGTGTGCTTTTGGGGCTAATAAGCTCCGATTTGGGGTGCTCGTGGTCCTGCTCTTACCGATCAACTCGTGAAGCGAAGGTGCTGGGCGGCGTGGCCGTCTCCAGCGGCGGTGCGGCTGCATGCTCTGTGCTAGAGGCTCCCGGTGACGGTAGCAATGGGGGATTAGACCATGGGGAGGATTTCCAGGGCTGGTGGCTTCACGTTTTGATGGTCTTCACACCCACAGGGCTTTGTGGCACCCGGCTTCGGTCTCAGCGTTGCTTGGACGCGTTGCCCAAACCTCCCTTGAGGCCGTGGCGGGGGCCGCCCTGGGGGGTGGAAGGGAGCGGGGTGGCAGCAGGCGGGCAGGGCTGGGCTCTGGCGGAGGTGGCCCGGTGCAGAGAGGGTTTGGAGGTGCTCTGGAAGCTTTGCCCAAACTGCCGGGCGCTCCAGGGCTGGGCTTGCCCTGGGACGAGAGAGGATGTTTGTTGGGAGCGGGAGAAGGGGGGAAAAGTCTCTCCCTTCCCTCAGCCCCCTCCCTGGCTGGCTCCGTGACTCGGGAAGGGGACGGCAGAATTGAAGGGTGCTGCACGGGATGTCGGGTACCCCTATGGCCCAGCCGCTGCCTGGGTGACGAGGCAGCCCCCCCGGTTTGCGTGGGGCCTGGCTGGCGGGTCCCACAGCCCCGCTGAGAGCCGCCTG